AGAAGCGTGACTAAATCTTTTAGCTCTGTAACGTTCATTGTGTGGATCCAGTTGGCTGGAATTACTGGAGAGAATTTACTTTTCAGAAGCGTAAAATATTCTACTCCATAGTGGAAAGACTTGGTGGGCAGATTCATACCACTGAAATGTAAACATTTCAAGATTTTATCATAGCAATATCTCTTCTTCCAAGCACATATCACAGCAGACTGGCCTGTCCTCTCTTTTTAAAAAGTTCTGAGTTCTATAGGAGTTCTTCAGAAGTCATTTAAATGCTATTTCAACTGTCTTCCCCCCCAAATCAGAGTTTTAAAAGCAAACAGGTATCTGTAGGGTCACACGAGAAAACCTCTGTGCATAAAACACCTCCTTCCTGAAATAGCAGTGCTGATATCTGATCTTTGGAATCACTGGATATTCAATGTTGTATTTTGTCTTCCCTTAAAGCAGCTTGTTTTGGTAGCAATGAGGTGGTCAGGAAGCCATAGGAGGTACATGTCATAGGTGGTGAGAGCTCTTGTATGAGCTCTTTAATAAAACCAAGGTGAAAGTTTATCCTAGTTTTTATGTAATATATTTTCTCACCTTTACTTAAATTAGGTTATTCACCTGTTTGTATTTCCCTTAAAACACTATCTCTATACTTGTAACATTAAGATACATACGCTGTACCTGTCTTAAGAAGTTCTCATTCTGAGAATTAAACCAGTCAAGGTATGCCCTCAGGTTCCACATTTTTTGCAGAGAGGTTTAAAGAACAGACCTTCTTAAATGGATACTTCTAACCAGGTTTTCGCTAACCAGACCAAGGTGTGTTATGATTTGGCAAAAAACAGATTCACTCATATGAGTGACAACATATTTTTCTAGGACACACGCAGCTGTTGCTGCTGCTTTGAGAAATGTTGTCACAATAGAAAGGCAGATATTTAGTACATGAGCAGCATATGTATTTGCTCAGTATTGCTCAGTAGTAGAAGTGTCCTATTCTCATTTTAATAAGTTTGTTTGAAATGGACTGAGAGGCAGAAGAAGTCATCAAATCTATTTTAATATTTTTTAATACATGGAATACATGTTGGTAGAGTCTTCATTGATTAACAAAGGTGATTCATTGTCTTAGCTTGTGGATAGATAAGCTCCATATGGAGCTCTGTTCAGATGTGCAATTGATTTACTGATTTGCATGAGTCCTTAAGCTCAGTTTGAATTGCGAGTCATTAATTCACCAATGAAGGATAATTATTAAGCAAGTGATCTTTTGGCATCATAGTTGGGAGGAGGTTCTGAGAGAAAAAATTAAATTAGGTGAATGGTCTGATAGTAGAGGCTAAATTGCTTTTCAACACACTGCAGGTGTGATCTGAAAGAAGTTGTTTCAGTCAACTCAGTGCCTTCCTGGTATTCTTTCAAATTTATCGATTGCAGCATGTATAGTCCATGAAATGACTTCAGCAAGTTCAGAAATATTTAATATTATGTGTAAAGAAATCTTCTTTGGACAAACAAATTTATCAGTGTGACACATGCAGCTTTTGTTCCATAGTCTGTCCTGAAAGCTTCTTGTAAGGGATTCATGATACTGATGGCAGATTGTATAAGTGAAGATCGCTTTTCCCCCCCGCTCCACTTTTATTAGCTTGCTCAGGAAAATGCATTTGAACAGTAAATAACAACTTGGTTGGTACGTGTAATCCATGTAGCCTCTTGATTGATGGCTCTCCTGCTTCAAATTGACTTGAACTGTGTCAGCTACTAAGGGATTTGAATTACTAAGCAGTTCTTCTAGGAATCATGATGTTTCTTTTAGGAAGTGTTATGTGATTCTGAGGTATATGTGATGGCCTGGGTTTCTTACAGCTTCAAGGAAGGAGGGAAGACAGGGCTTTAGAAAGCTCATCCTGGGTACGGGAGAGCTGCACTGTGAAATGGGCTGACCACCTTTCATAGCAAGTGATGCTACTGCTTCCAAGGGGTGATAAAGCTGTGAAAGTTTATACTGCAATTTATCACTCTGAAAGCTTTTCTGATTATGATTTAGCAGCCACATGGGTTCTATATATTGAACCCATAATGAAAAGGAGACATTTTGAAAAAAAGATACTAAGAAGACTATGGCTTTAAATGTTTCCCTAACTTTTAAGACCCATCTCCTATCTCAATGAAGCTGGCATCTGCCAACAGTATAGTGTCACCTGCACGCACTCACATAGTGTTTGAATGGCTTGAAATAGGGCACCGGGCAGCTAAATCTCTGCATGGTTCACACTGCCACCATATGAGATCAAATGCTGCCTCACTGAAGCCTTTCTGCACTTCACAAATGTGACCCCTGCAGTGTGAGGAATGCTAAGTTTCCTCTTCCTTTAAAGGAAAAGAGGCCCTACCTAACTGGGTTTATCCATCCAAGTTTCCATGGTTTCTCACATAAGGAAAAGGTCATCACTGGCGGGAAGAAGTATAGCCAATCTGAAATGAATCCACCTCATAGTATCCCAGAAAATTCCTTCTGTGCTCCTACCAAGTCTTTGTCTTCAGCTTTTTTTTAAATTGAGGCTCTGTGGATTCTTAACTGTTAATGCCAGGTGCCTGCCTAATTCACAGGGCCACAAATGAAGTAAACATGCATAAGTAATAAATTTAATTTCTTTGATCTAGTGTGCATGGATTGATCTATGTTCTGTCTTTAAACTAGCAGTGATGAAGGATTGTTTTTTATTTGCTTATGCATAAAGCAGATTTTACATTGCTGTATGAAAAGCTATTTGATTTCTTTGTATTGCCAAATGTCATGTGCTCATTTTTATTGTTGTCTTATTTGTCTGACCTCTCTCCACAGTCATGGAATGTACTCCTGTTAAATAGAGTTTGGTTTATACTTCTCTAATGTCTCACATAAGAAAATTTGTCCTTCCCACCCACTCAGAGTTGTCCGGCTCACTATAGAGCTTGGACAAGTCTCATCATTTCTGCATTTTGTATCTGCAAAATAGGAATAATCATGATGCATTGCTTTTGACTGGTAAAATGCTTTGAACTTCTCAGGAAGAATGGGTTGTAAAAAAGTCTTAAGTATTCCTTCCTTCTTCCATGAACAATAAATCAGCAACTGCCATCAAGCCGGGTTACTATATATACACTTTTCAGGAATCCTTCCAGAATCCCTCTGTTTCTTCTCTATTGTGTTTCAAGAAATGTGCAACTCATCTAGATTAGGCAATTGGGAAGCATCCCTTTCCATAGACTATTAACACCACTTCTGCAAAAAAAAAAAAAAGTATCAGAATTTTCGTCTCTAAGGGAAATTACTATGATATTTCTATCAAAATCTCTTTGTTTCAGAACACAGATTTTTTGTAACTAGTTCTCAGTGACTTTTTTTTATTGGAATAGCTAATAGTTTCTAGTGTGCCTACAGTCTGTGGGAGTTTTTAAGTCTGTTCTTAACATATCCTTGATTTTCTGCCGTTATGCTGAAGTCAACAGGAGTCTTTCCAGCAGCCTTCTATGGTTGGCTTGTTGAGATAGTGACCAGCAAGTAGTCTTACTCTGAATACAAAAGCTGTAAAGCAGAATTTGTCGTAACCATAATGTATTTTCCTATGTGTATGTGAAGGAGATCATCAGGTTTATTAGAGTTGGAGAGGCAGGATTGTTTTGGAAGGGATAAAAATGCAAATATTTTGGTTGTTTTGTCTCCCTGTTACGTGATTCAGAAAAATCTGAATTTTAAGAGATTTCTTTTTCTGTACTTTGCTTGCATTTATATGAAACAGTAATTTGACATACAATAATCTGGATTCCATTTTGTCTTTGTTTTATTCAGAGAAGCATTTTTAGTGGCTACGTTTGCTTACCTAGGTTTTACTTGAGAAGTTAAAATTTCTAAGCTGGGCAAGAAACTGAAAGCTCAAAGCTAATGGTGGCGTTTGCATTAGACAAGACACAGTTCAGTGAGATGCAGTGTGCACCTTCATTGTCTGAACGTTAGCAAGCAAAATTGACACCATATGTGCCCAACTGTAATTGCTCCAAGCGGGGAAAAGAGAAACATGTCAGAACATTTGAGTAACACCTAATTCAGCCCGTGGTTATAAATAAAGCTGATGGTTGCTTAAAAACAAAAGTAGAAAAATATTATGGTTATATTATTCCTCAGCAGCGCTTCCTACTTAGGTGAACTTTATTACAGAGACAACACAAGTGAAAAGAAACATGTAACAACTTTTTATGGTATTTTTATGTTATTTTATTTTTTTCGCAGTAAATAAAGTGGTTATGAGGCTCCAAGGAAAACGGCCCAGATGTTAGTGAGTTGTATGAAATTTAGTGGAAACAAGCTGTAAAAAACATAGTCATAAAACAGCCTGTCAATGCCACACATCTGGACAATGCAGCTGTATGTTCCCGCTGCTGTCATCACCCTAAGAAAACTCAATAGCCTTATTTCACCCCAATTAGGCTGCATACCAACAGAATCAGAATTACACAGGGAGGGGGTGTATTTTCACCAAGACAGACCCTCTCAAATTCCCTTCAAGAAGTTTTTATCTTTCATTCAGGGCTAGTGCCTCAGACGCTACTCACTTTGTAAACAGTACTCCAAACTATTCCCATTGATTTGCTATCTGTAAAATGCTTTTTAATTTATTACTTTATAATAAGTAGTTGCTTAATGTTACTTCTTTGTTTAAAACTTTAAAAAATTACATTTAACTGCAAGAACTGTGTGTCTGTTGACCTTTGCATATATCAGAGAAGTTTTCTCCTTTCTATCCTTATCTCATACTATAGCAGATGTAACTTCATTTGAGGTATTAGGAACCAAAGAATAGCTATGCGTCTTACTGATATGTAATTTTTCCGAATGTGTGTCCATTTTGACCCATGCATTGTACAATATGATATAGCACTTCCTCATTTCAGAATGCAAAATAAGTGTCAAATCTGATATTTAAACTATACAAGTAATAGTTATTTTTCAGGTTTTTTCTCTGCAGGTGCTAGAAGTAGCCAAAGCCATTCAGGACAGTGGTGAAGAAATTCCTGTAACACTAACTGGAAAGCTGTTGAAATTTCAACTGCTTTGTCTGAAACAGAAGGACCTTCAGAGAAGAGAAGCTGAAAAGAAGGTACTATAGTATGCTGTATGGAACATGCTTAATTAACTTTATAAAACATATTTCATTATAGTGCTGTTTGTGTAAGTTCAGTTTTCTCCTCATGCTTAAGTTCCTAGATCTGTAGTTGAAGAGAAATGTAAATAGAAATTTATCTTTTAATATTAGTTAATTAGATTTTGGGGAGGAAGCTATTACTCAAAGGCAGTAAAAAAAGAAAAGAAAAAACATTGTGCAAGAACTCTTTGCTAGATTAATAAGTAGTAATGTCTTAACTGAGTCTTAGGACCAATCAAAAATAGAGCTAGAATCTGGCTTTAGCTGAATGTATCTCTGCTGAAGTAAAGGTAGGAGAGGTTACTACTTGAGAGGTATCAAGGAGAGATGCTGAGCAGCAGTACGAAGTTATTATCATGAATCAACTTTCTGGAAGAAATTTGGAGAAGTTATCTAATCCATCCTCCAGTATTAAGACAGGATAAAATATATATAAACTATTCCTGGCAAATGTTTGTTGAATCTGTTCTTAAAACCTTCCACTTCTGTGCTTTCGCTTTGTTATGGCAATCAGTATGACTGCTCAACTATCTCTGCTACGCAGCCATTTGGAAAATGTTTATAACCTTATCAACTCTAATTTAAACCCGTTACTGCTTCACTTCTTGCTGTGCACGGGGACAAGAGTTCTTACCCTCCATACTGCATAAATCTGTTACATATTTAACTAAACAAATACAAATATATGTCACGGTTTCTAGTTTTTGATTATGCTTGTTCTTCTCCTCTGAACTCTCTCCAAATAGTTCATATCTTGAAGTCTGCTTCTGAGAACTTGTTACCACATTTTCCATTGTTCCCAAAACTCACTTCCACATATTCTCTAAGATCGTCACTGCTAGCTCCAAGATTGCCTCAGTCAGATTGCTTATGTGTTCTAGGAGGAATTTCACCAGGCTTGCACAGAATCACAATCAGATCAGACCTCTTAATTGCTTTCTAACATCTGTAATTTAAAAAAAAATTGTCAGTGCTACATTTCAACAACTTACTGGACAGTTGGTCTTTGCAATAGTCTTTCTCCAGCAAACATTCATGCATCTGAAGACCATTATCATAAAGTCATATAATTGCTGCAATAGTTTACCCTGTTAATTGATCAAAAACTATAATGTAAAACGTGATGACATGGAGACCTAAGCAGTCTGTGCATGTAAAAGATGCAAGAAGAAAATAGTTTTATGGATTTTGTGTAGTTGAAAAGTCTGTAAATTTCTTTATCAATAATTCTATTTGTGGGAATAATTGGTGGATGAAGTAGAGGACACAAGCACAAGAACATTAAATGCTAGGTGGTAAGTTAAAGTTGTGTCCTGTTCCCGTAGAAGTCAATTGCAAAATTGATTATCAAATGATAATGTAAGCCACAGAAATATATAAAGAATCTGAGAAAAAAATATGCATTTTCCATCTGAAGAGAAATTGAGAGGCTGAAGCCATAGAGGAGATTTTTTTTTTTAATAATAAATGGAGAAAAAAATTACTTTTCTCTTAAATGTCAGCCAGGTCTGGTAAGTAAACTGTAAAACAAAAAATTGAAGTTTAAAGATTAGGCACTTAAATATTAAAATGGAGCCTTTATCTTTGATTTGTCAAGATTACACTTGTAAGTATAACTGTATTTCCCTGGAGAATCTGAGGATAGTTGGTATTGAAGGTGGAAGAATCTCTGAAACTTACAATTTCTTCTCTGTTTTAGCCAAGCAATCTGGACAAAGCTGTCAGGTATATCCAGGTGTGACAGGCAAACATGAGAGAAGCAATTGAACGCCAGAGTCAATAATTGGGAGGGCCCTTGGCTATGAGTATGATCTGCAGCGCAGAATGGGCAGAAACTGGCTTTTAATTTAGAATTCTGACTCTGAACTATCTGCCATAAAATTTTTAATCCTTTCCAACTAGTTCGTACAGTACAAATTCCATTCCCATCCTGAAACCAGGATTTTACTAGCAGATCAGTTCTCAGAAAGCTAACATAACTGGACATTGTTTTTTAGACACCAGTTAATAGAGTGATTGGCCAAAGAAAAACAGCAAGTGAATAAACAAAAATAAACCATTGTGAAATTTCTGTATTTCATTAGGAGCAGGAGCCTCTCATAAATTGACTAGTGTATGCATTTAAATTAATATGCAAAAGAAAAGCAGTGTCTCTAAATTAGAAAAGTGTTTTAGTAAGATTCTGTAATATGAAGCTTAAAATAACAAAATTATGAAATATAAAGCTAAAGGAAGATTAGAAACTCCACAAAAAGCTGCACCTTCTAGGGAAGGAGGAATATGACATTCGGAGGAAAAGGAGAGAATCCTAGAAAAGAGGCTTGTACTTCTTAAAGTGTGAAGGTCAACTAGTGCTCCTTGTTGATATCTTGGCAGGTTCAGAAATGCCTATGCTTATTTGAGACTTAATTATATTAAATGATGCAGATGCAATAGATAAAGGTGATTGTGAACTTTGTAGCCTGATGATTGTATCATCTGTTTTGATGTGTTCATCAGCTTAGAATTTGAAGTAATACTGTCAAAATCTTTGGTTTTAAACATCCAAAGTGGAATAAATTTGAAAGAAAATAATTAAAGCAGACAGATCCCCTATTTCACAGCACAAATAGTTTTAAGAAGCTTTTGAAGGCATTTCTAAATTTTACAGAAAGAGAATGCATGAAGAAAGGAAAAGCAGGAAAGGATTTTCTGCTTTGGTTTTGAATTTGAATTAAACACAACTTGTACAGCTGGAAAGTCTGCTTTTCCAGTTGGATCTAGGGAAAGCAACTGTGTAGAGTCAACTGCCCTATCTTATTTGCATGGAAGCTTTTCACTTTGCTTTAATAGTCTTTAAAGTGACACCAGCAGGATGGTAACAGTAAGTTAAGTTAATATCGTTTTATTGTATTTAATTTAGTTTTACAATCCTTAAATGTCATTCTTGCATAGTTAATGCACAGTCTTGCTCCTGGGTAGAAATAAGGTGGAGGTTTTCTTGTTCTTGCAGCACCTCGCTTTGCCTTAATATATTTTGGGTTATTTTAATTTTAGACTGGCTCTGAGCTTTCTGGATTTATAGTGTGAGGCTTTGGGATACTTACAAAATCTTTTTTTCATTCTTTACTCTTAAATTACTGAGCAGAACTTAATGTAGCTGGTTTTGTTTGAAAATAATGAGAATGGCTGAGTAATATCCTGTGTGAAATGAGCACATGACTCTTGGTTCTAGTTTATAGTAGACAGATATTTACATCAAAGAAAAATAGTGCTGGTACCATTTTACACCAAACTCAGGAGTGTTAACAGAGATGCTAAAAACTTAACAGAAATAGCATTTTTGTCTTGCTTCCCTTCAGTCCAGGGAAGGTTCTGGCTGATGCAAGTGCTGTAGTGGCAGTAAGGAAAGCACAGGGATTCTTTACTTGTCTTTCTACCAGTATACTTTTCATTAGCTTTGTAGGTATAATGTCTAACGTCTCACAGGTTTAACCTCTCCCAGTTGTTTTTTAATGTGAAGTCTTAACGCTATGATTTAATAAGAATATCGTAAACTGAGTGTTGTGTTTGAGAAGGATAAAGCAGCATGTTCAAATCAACATTATAGGGCCTGAGAGGGAAAAGTATTCAAATAAAAAACCTGAACCACTAAAATTTTACAGCAGTCTGCCCTTTGTTCTGCACAAAGGCTACAATGAGAACTTACTTTATTCATCTTGTCAGGCAGAAGAAGAGCAACGAAAGGAGAAAGATGGAGGGAAAGAGAAAGCTAAGCCTCCTGGCAAGACAGCTGAGAAAGAAAGGAAAGGAAAAAAGACAGAAGGAGGCCCTTCAGCCTCAGTCACTGTTAAAAAGGACACTCAACTGAGGCAACGGGGAGAAGTGGAAGAGAAGGACAAATACATTGGTATGTAAAAAATGCAGATATACTCCTGATAAACTTGCTAGAAATCTCTAGAAATCTTGCAACCTGTCTTTGGACCGAGTACTTTGTTTTGCTACATGTTAAAAAGTTAAGATCTATTTACCAATATTAAAGCATTGCCACTTCGCATTTGAAGAGGGCTCAGTATTAGATCTTTGGACCGAGTACTTTGTTTTGCTGCATGTTAAAAAGTTAAGATCTATTTGCCAATATTAAAGCATTACCACTTCGCATTTGAAGAGGGCTCAGTATTAGGATAAATTGTACAGTCCAAGAAATAAAATACATATGAAGTATATGTAGCATGTCAACCTCAACGTGTTTTAGCATGTGTTAAGACTAAAAGAAAGTGGCTAAACAAATCCTACAGGAAACCTTTCTTACAGGAAGGTTTTTGAATAACTAAATGCATTTGTGTCAGTATCCAAAGGTGGCTTTCTTCTTATATTGTAAAGTATTACAGAGCTGTCTACCATTGTCTAGGGATGAAGCCAGGTTCTGTAGAAAGGGCAATATGATTTCATTTGCTGTAAAAAACATGTGGATAGAACTGAGACCTGAAGAAATCTGTTCCAGATATGAACTATACAAGGTAAAGAATAATATGCTAACTAGCGCTGAGAAAATCTTTATTCTTAATGCATAGCACCCATGGTTACAAATTTCACTGGAACAAAAAATATTGGAGAATATGCATAGCTCTCCTCATTAGATCACAGTTGTATTTAATTTGGACCATAATATGTTTGAGCTACATCAATGTAAAGAGGATCCTTCCAGCTAGAGAAGCACTTGCTGATTTTTGGATGCATTATGTGTCCCTGCTATTCCTCAGTTGAACTGCTGCAGGCTTTCTTCACTCTTTCATCAGAGCTTTGTCTGCATCTCATTTGAGATGAATGGCACTCTGCAAGCATCTAAAAGCATCAGTCCCGGTGTTTAGAGCAAGTCTGAATCTTAGTGAAGCTGACAAAAGTACAGAAGAACAGGAGCTATCTGTGCATAGCTCTTCATTTTTTTGGATAAGGCTTAGCTGTAATATCATTCTTTTGATGACTTAAAGGTTTTTCAGGGCCTGAAAGGAGAAGTGTTCACAGAGCAGTCATACCTTAAGAATACAAGCTGAAGTGATGTAGAAAACTCATGTCATCTTACTAGAACTGGTACAGGAGAAGTTGTTGAGGTATTTTGTGCTTGGTCACTTGTGCTGTATTTAATTTTACAGTCGTGACTGTACTGAGCTGAAGCCTTTCTGAACAATTAACTACATTTGTTGTGCATCCACAGTTGGGCTTAATAATAAACAAATTGATTCTGACACACACACAAAAAAAAAATTCTTCAGTGGATTGATTTCCAGTCTGAAGACAATAAGGAATTACCTAACTACCATTCTACTTCCTTTAGTCATGCTGAGGAAGACAGTGAGGAGGAACCTATAGCCCTAAGAAGGACAGCACCCCTCAAACCCTTCACTTTAGGCTAAAGGAAAAACATAACTATTGTTTTATGGAGAGGTAACTGTTTCTTGGTTCTTCGTGACAGTTGCAGCTAGAAGTCCATACCAAGAGAAAATTAAGTCAAGTATTGCCCAAACTTCTGGAGACCGTTCTAAATGAACATTCAGTGTGGTGAAATAACTGTCAGGATTTTCTCTTTCCTCAAGAACATGGCAATTAAGGTTCTCAAGAACCTCACACTAAAGCTTTGTTTTGAGTCTTGAGACAAAGTGATGCCAGCTCCATTTCCCAGTGTCAAGAACATGTAGATCCATTAAACTTTTCTATCAAGAATGTAGTGCTTTAAAAATCTTAATGAATATTCCGTATTTTACAAGAGTCTGAGCAGAAGACATTAAGAACCTTGGATGATCCTTAAAGTTGATGCAGTGAAATTTTTTTTCAGCACTCTTGGCCACTCTAATAGAATCATAGAATCATTTAGATTGGAAAAGACCTTTAAGATCATTAAGTCCAACTGTAAACCTAACACTGCCAAGTCCACCACTAAACCATGTCCCTAAATGCCACATCTACCCATCTTTTAAATACCTCCAGGGATGGTGACTCCACCACTTCCCTCGGCAGCCTGTTCCAATGCTTGAAAACCCTTTCAGTAAAGATTTTTTTCCTAATATCCAACCTAAACCTCCCGTTTATTTTTTTTTAATATAACTGTATTGAGAAAAAAACCCAAAAGAGAAAAATGCAAGGATTTTTACTTGAGCGTAGTCCGAGCTATTGCTTATATATGAACATGTCTTGATCTCAAAGACAATCTGTATATGTTTCTGGTAGCTAACAGTCATTTTTTCATTCATCCCCAGTACATTATCACCTTTCTGAAATGAAATGTTTCTGCATTTGAGAAACCTTGAGATTACTTGCATTGATATCTTTCATCATTTGAGTATGAACTAGTCACTGTTCTTTAGAACTGACTGATTATTATCAACTTTTCATGATTATCAGCATAACAGTAACTGTTGAATGGCAGACAGTTTTCAACATATATGCACTGGGATTTTTTTGATCTCTGTAAGTCACTAGGCACACATCTGTCTTTTTTGTTAGAAATCATTAATGCTCAGTAATAGTATGTGCTGATGCTTTTTCTTCCTGTAGTAACTGAGGCATCAAAATTTGTGGTTCAGTTTCAGTACTAGCAGTACTATAAAGGACTAGTTTTCTTTTGGTTTTGCTTTTGCTTTATGCAATGTGTGTACTAGACTGTTGTGACTTCTTCCTTGGTCAGTCTTTCTCCAAATTCGTAAGTTCTTTTATGTTTACCTAATGTTACAAGAAGAGGAGAGACAACCACGTTACAGCCTGCTGTTCCAGGTGATAGCAGCATTTGCACATCCCTGGCTATATACCTGCTCACAGGCAGATGTCAGTGTCCACTTACCTTTTTTTCTGCCCTTTTTTTCTTCCCTAGGATGATTGAGTCTCATGACCTGAGGAATGGCCAAAGGACTTTTAAGTGTGTTGTGTTAGTAGGCGTAAGAAAGAATCTTAATGCTAAATAGAATATAAAACTGTGTTTTGTTGATAGTGCAGGATCTGAATTAATTGCATATGTTCCATAGTTGATGGAGAGATACAGGAACTTCAGCAGTCAGTTTCTGTTGTCTTAGGATAAATGACCGTGCTGGATGAATTAAATCACCTGGTACCTGTCTGAATACCTGTATTTCTGCATGGGCCGTAGAGGGAATCTATGCAATTCATTTAGACTACAATCAGGCTTTTAGAGGGTTCGTTTTTACTTACATAGTGCTTAACCTTTTGCTTGGGTAACTGAGACATTGCTATGCGTATTTCTACAGAATAAGCCCAACAGAGCAGGCACTCAACGAAACTTCTCACCTGTACTTTAGGATGAATTTGCATATAGCCTTTGCCAACTAAAAGGACTAGTGTGAGCTGGTATTACTAGCTGATGAGGGTTTTGACAAGGAGTCCGTCTAGCAAATGTGAACTTGTTGGGCAGGTAGCAGTCAGCAGTGAGCCAGCTCATACCTGCAGCTAATCCTCCAGAACTCTTATAGCTAATATCATCCTTAGCTGAGACACAGTAACTCATTCAGCGTGTGCTCCCTGGACAGCTTCTGCAGGATGAAATAGGATAGCTTAAACTACCATTAGAGCATGTGAGTATGTCCTGACACTGAACTCCTTCTTAAAGAGAAGCAATTACAGAAATGCTTCTACAGCTAGCATTCTGCTTATAATCAGCTTCTCCAATTTTTCTCCTGGTGCTTCTCCAAACAAGTTTTACTTCTGACTTGTATAAAAAATTCTAGGTGGTTTGCTACAGAAGACTTCAGTCTACATAATATTTTGAAACTTCCGTGTAATTATCCCAATGAGATTATAAAAGAGCTGTTTCTCTGACCTTAATTTGCAGTAGCCCTATACAGACAAGAAAAAAATTAATTTTGGTTAGCTGTTGAATGCCCTTGCTCTAATCTGTTTTTGTTGTGTTTTGAACAGATGATGAACCAGATGATGGTGCCCATCACTACTTTATAATTTTGGATTTCCACAACCCTCAGCTGTTGCCTGTGATGTCTGAGCTTGGGATTAACATTTCAAGTGTAATTAGAATCTCTTCTGAGAATTATGAGCCATTGCAAGCATACTTGGAAGCAACTAACCTTCAGGAAGAATCTTTAGTTTCACCTGAAGGTAATCTAGGAACAAAATTTGTGTAGAAAGGAGACTATTTGAAATCCAAGTAAAGACTGTTCCTGCTGTGTTTTTCTCCCTCTCTGTGTCTTGTGTTTGTGCATACTACCCGTGACCAGCTGTATTTGCCAGTGCAAAAATGGTATTGGCATTGGTTTGATGACCAAACCAAATGGTTTGCAAGTGCAAAAATTTGCCACAGATGGACAGTGGAAGGAGTAACTAACTAAGCAGGCAGTGGTTGCAGCCATAGTTTTCTGCAGTAGCCACTAAAGAACAGCGTTTTCTCAAATGTGTATGTCTATGAATTGTTAGCCAGGAAGGTGTGTTGCTAAGCAAAGCTGGCTCATTTGGAAATTTCAAGGGAAGTGCACAGCTGGCTTCTTTGGGACTGTGGCCCCAGCCAGGGAAGAATATGCCACAGAATAACACCCTGCAATTGAGCTTAGCTGTTCCCAGGCTGTAACAGCTCTCTTGAACTGGAATTCTGGTGAACAGCAAGCTAAATATCAGTCATCAATGAAAACTAACCATACTGAGCTGTAGTAACATGGCCAGTAGATCAAGGGGAGAGTGTCCAGAGGAGGCCACTATATTGGTGAAGGGCTTAGAGGGGAAGCCATACAAAGAGAGGCTGAATTCACTTGGTTTGTTGAGCCTAGAGAAGAGTAGACTGAGAGGAGATCGCATCACGGTCTGGAACTTCCTCACAAGGGGAAGAGGAGGGGCAGGTGCTGATCTCCTCTCTCTGGTGACCAATGATGGGACCAGGGGAAATGGCAGGAAGATGTGCCAGAGCAAGTTTAGGTTGGACATTAGGAAAAGGTTCTTCAGGTAGAGGGTGGTGGATCTCTGGAACAGGCTTTCCAGGGAAGCAGTCATGGCACCAAGCCTGACAACATTCAGGAAGCATTTGGACAACACCCTCAGACACACGGTCTGAACCTTGAGACTGGCTTGTGCTA